ACCCGCCCCCCCCCAAAAAAACCTCGCCCAGGGGCTGAGCCAGCCCACCTGCCACTTTTTGATTTTGCGAGTCATCTCCTGCGGTCAAAGCATACGGAAGGAACGTGGTGTGATGTGTTGCTTGCGTTGTGGCAGGGGCGATCTGCCGAGATCAGCAGCGGGCAGGCCCCAGTTTCCAAGTTCCGATTGGGAAGCTGCCGCAGGACGCGGCAGCGGCGCGGCAGCCTGGCTGGCGCCCGCAGGTGCAGCATGCATTGGGTCTTGGTTTTTAGATGTGCGCCCGCAGGTGCGCGTCGAGAATCGCCGACGTGGAGCGGGCGACTGCAGCGCCAGCGCCGCAGGGAGGCGCACACTGTCCCCTCCTCCCCACAAGCGTTCTCGCACCAGCCCATCCGCCTCGCTGCATCGTTGCCGCCTCTTCGCAAAGCCATTGAATCGCGTCGAACAGCAACAGCCCGGCGCAGCCAGAACCCACCGGCGGCAGAATGGGGCGCCACGGGACGCCCTGTGCTGGCGCGCGCGGCGGGGCGACGACGCCCGAAACCGGCAGCTGGGTCGCTTGCGCAGTGGGCGGGGCTCCGGCTTGGAGCACTCCTCTCTCCATCTTTGATACCGCGGCTTAGGCTTGAACGCTCCGCTTGCGCCACCGAGATTGTCGAGCACGGGGTGCGATGACCAAACGATTAGGAAGCTCATCCAAAGAAACTACTTCATAACATTATCGTTATCGAGGCAATGCACTGCTGCTTCGCGTTCGTCTGGCGGCAGTTAGCGAGGGCGGGTGACTGCTGCGTGCTGACTGCTGCCAGCACAGCGTCCCAGTGACTCCATGCCCGTCGACAAAACATTGGATCTAAGAGAGCTTCACAGAGAAGCTATCATCAATGCTGATCAGGGACGGTACATGCCGCCCAACGTGGCAGCTCTGCCAGTGTGTTGAGAAGCACGAGCAGTCTGAGCATACGTTGATCCTCCCGCTGTCACGGTATGCGAAGATCAGCAACCCCTGCTTGGATACATGCATCTCTGGCCTGCACCAGGATGTTACAGCAGCCAGATTCTGACCATACGATATACAGTTGAGCGAAGGACCGGGTACCGAAGGGAGCAGCCTGATTGCCAGACAATAGGGTGCTGCCTGTCAAGAGCACACCACCCCTCCAGCACTAACAATCCTCACTCAAATGCTGTTGCAGCTTTCAAAGAATACACGCCATGCTCGAACGTGACCTCAACCCCAGGCACTCCGTAAGCGGCGGCCCCGCGTGCCAGCGCCGGCGAGCCACCTCACGGCTACTATCAGCTGCCCGCCACAATCTCGGCACCGACCGCGCAGCCCTCAATCAACAAGGCAGACCATGCGCTGCGCAAACTGCATGATGCAAATATTCTGTTTCGCCCGAAGCAACGGCTCACAGTCATTGGCAACGCAAGGTTGCCTGCTGTGGCCCCCACCCCACCAGCGACCCCTTCACACCCGCATCCACGGGAAGATTAAAGTAACTTTGCATCATTGTCACCAAGCGCCGAAGCCACCGTGCACGCATGGCCACCGATCACACGCCATAGTCCTGCGCCCTGTCAGCGTGGAGGTGGGCCAGCCCCGCATCCACTGCGAGCACCTGCCCCGTGATCGCCGCGGGGCCGGCCATTAGGAAGTGGACAGCCTGCGCGACCTCGTCGGCCCCGACCAGTCGCTTCGCGGGGTGCATTGCCTCGGACGCGTGCTTTACCCTCTCGTTGCCTGCGAGGCGCGGCACGGGCGGGGGCTCAGCATTGCCGCCAGCAGCTTTGCCAAAACGTCGTGAAGCCCGCGTGCCTGTTGCCTGATCGTCACCACCGACAAATCCCCTCCGCTCAGAACCCCCTTTGACACGTATCACCCGCCTCCGGCATGCAAAGGTTTGAGCTCTAGCCAGACGCGCGCTTCGCTCTGATATTCCCTGCCCCCGATCACTCCTGTCGGGCCGCAGGTAACTCCTTGCTTGGCGGCCCCGAACACAATTGAAATCGCCTGCCCGCCATTGCATAGATCGATCACCACCCTGGACCCAGCCTCGCCGCCTACCTGTGAACTTCTCTGTCTGCCCGGTCTCCACCAGTCCGGGTGCCACGCAGTTCACGCGCACGCGGTGCGGCGCGTAGGTGGCGGCCGCAGCGCGCATCAGGCCTGCGCGGCGGGGGCCCGCAGGGCGCGTGATCTACCGCCGCTTCGCGTGGGCGGCTGGCTGCGTCACAAGCAAGCGCACACTCTCAGCATCGGTGCTCGGCCGCGGACTGCCCTGTGATTACACAACGGCTTCCGTTGTGTTTGGCCGCGTGCCAATGGCAATCTCATGCGCAATCTGGCCCCGGCTGTCGCCACGGAGCGAGCAGCGGCGCCGCGTCGCCCCTGCCATCGCGCCCCTCCCCAAGGCGCACGTCCCCACGCCCACCCTCCACAGCCGCCTTGGCCGCCGTGAACGCGTCATAGTTCGGTATTCCGTGCCCTGCAAGCGCCGCGGACACCATCACAACGCTGCCTGAAGATGGGCCCTGGCGGCCCACGCCGCCGCCGCCACCGCCGCCGCCGCCGGCCGCTTGCTGGCCCTGCCCCTGATGCTGCTCATTTGGCAGCATGGCCTGGCGGTGGGGGATGGGCGACGCAATGGGCACGCGCAGCAGCGCTGTTCACTTGTTGTTGACTGGGTGCTTGCTTACCGGCACATGAGGAGGTGCGGGCGGTATGCACGCGGCTGCCAGACGGAGCCCATGCACCCTGGCCTGTGCAGGGACTGTTGTGTGGTTGGACAACAGAGAATCCCCATGCACACGCGAGCCGACTCGGCTTGCTTGTCCAACCGAGGGGCCGCCAACGGGGTGTGTTTATCAAACCCCGCCGCCTCCACTGCCCCCATCAGGAACACGGCCTGCTGGCCAGACACACCCCGAGGAACCTCTTCCGCACGCGCGGCGCAAGCCTGCCCTCCCTCTGTTTTCCCACGCATTCCCAGCCTCCTAGGATTGTCCCCCACCCCGGCTGCGCGCCTTGACTGAGGCCTTGAGCACATTGAACTGGGTGTGCAGGTTGACCTTCACCACCCTGTCCAACTCAGCCAGCTCGGTCGCCAGCAGGGAGCGCGCCTCGACGTTGCCTGGGGCGCGCGGGGGCGGCGAGGCAGCAGGGACGGAGGGGGGGGGGTGCGCCGCGCATCGGCGCCGGGTCAAGCAGGCATGGGTGCGGGCTGGCTGAGCTGCCGGAGGCCGACCTTGGCAATCAAGTACCAAAACGCTGATTGCAATGCGAGCCTCACGCAGGTGCACAAATGGGCAATCGAGAGGAAATCTGGCTCTTTGGACAGCCACGGTGATGGACGGCGGCGGCGACCGCTTCTGCTGCCAGGGAGAAAGGGGCTCCGGCGTGCGGGTGCGACGCGTGCTGTGGTGCGAGCAGAGCCACCCACCGACGCAGCAGGCGACGGCGTCGACGCGGCCGTGGGCGCGCAGCGCCTGCTGCAGCACGTGGTCCACCTGGCGGGGGCGGTTGGGGCGGCGGTTGGGGTCTGATTTTGAAGCGTTGTAATCGAGGCGCGGCGGGCTGCTGGGGTCTGCAGGATTGCAGAGCGTACAGTCATATCTTGCCGGCTCTCCAGCTGACACATCAAGACGTCATGCGATGCGGAATGTGGATTGAACCTGTGACCTGGATAGATTCTCAGGAAAGCCAAGGCAGCTGCATCGCAGCGACCCCTCGGACATTCACAAATATCCCGGGAATATCCCGGGGCAGTCGCTGCAGCGCTGCAGAGTCTTGTCCCCCCGGGCTCACCGCCTGAGGGTCGAGCGCGTCGGCCGGCGCGGCGCTCAGCCGGCCGCCGCCGCCGCCGCCGCTGCCTTTTTGAATCTCATCGAGAGTCTTTTGCAGGTCGCCCTCGTTGTCCGCGCTGAGGACGACGCTGGCAGCGGGGCCGCCGCTGGCCCCGGCGCTGCTTTGGGGGGCACAGGCCAGGCGGCGGGCGAGGGCGGAGCCGATGCCTGGTGATGCGGGGCGCAATTGGGGGCGGGTTGCGAGGGAGGGTGCGGGGAGGAATTCTGCGATTGCATATGTAGGAACGGCGTGCGCCAGCGCAGCAGCCCGGACGCCTGTGGCTACGCAGGCTGGTGGGCGGTTCCCTTGGTGATGTCATACCTCCGGTCGCGCCGAACACGACATAGACAGGTCCACCTGTCAAGTTGCACCAGAACAAGGAGGTTGAAGAGGGATTAGAGGGCGGAAGGGTCCGCTTGGTAGAGAGCCGCCGCCTCCAAAACTGGTGGTGTCACCTCGCTCACCGCCGCCGGCGTCGGTTGAGAGACGCGCCGCCTGCGTAGCAGCGGGCGCCGCGGCAGGCCACGCACTGGCTGCCTGGAGGAAACAACCTGCGGATCTGATCATGGTCGCTGAGAATAATGCAGCCGCTTGTCGATCTGACCAAACTCGGAAGGGCGCCGCGTCAGCTGCTGAATCAGACTCGGTTCTCGGATCAATGTACCGTCGCGAACATTCCACGCGGCACTGTATGATCGATTTTCCGTGCTCTTGGTTGCACCGGGCAGCTGTACATCACGCGCCGTCACCGGGAGCCGTTGTGCGTCCCCCAGTCCGAGAACACCAGGCGCGCCCGCAAAGCAAAGCCGCCCTCTGCGCAGCACCATGAGCCGCATCCTCCGCGCCGCCGCTGCGCACGCCGTCCGCGCCGCGGTCGCCGCGCCCGGCCGCGCCGGCGCCGGCGCCGCCCCCGGCGCTGGCCGCAGGCTCGTTGCGTCGTCTGCCGCCGCCCACAACAGGCAGGGCGGCGACGCCTTTGATGACTACACCGCCACATACGGCGAGTAACACTCACCCTTGCACTCTTCACCAACATATCACGTTATAAGCCATCCCATCGCCCGTGATCTAGATCCCCAGCTGCACTCACCTGTCCACCCACTCCCTGCTGAACAGACCAACCCGATTGCAACCCACCCCTACCCACCATCACACCCACCCACCCAGGCGCGCGCCTTGAGGATGCCACTGAGCACAGCAGGGCAGCAGAAACCGCCGACGCCGCCGCGCGCCGCGCGGGCTTCGAGGTCCCGCCCCCCGGCCCCGGCTCGTCCGACGCGCCGTCCCCGCGCGCCGCCGCGGCGATGGGGCTGGGGGCCGACTGGATGAGGGGCATGGTGGACCTGTTTGCGGGCGCGGCGCAGGCGGACCCGGCGCGGGTGGCCAAAGGGGTGGAAGAGATGACCCGAGAGTCGTCTGCAGGTGCGCGACCCCTACGCGTGCACGCGCCTGCGCGCGCGGGCGGACTGCCCGGTAGAGCTGCACACCCGTGAGGGCGTGCGCTCAAGCAGCAGGGCAGGAAGGGGGCGAAACACGAAGGCGGCCGAGCACATGCCATTCTGGCGGGGGCGCCGCACCTGATGCACGGGCATCGATGTGGGCAAGCTGGGCGCCGAGCGCGCAGCAAACGGGCGCTGCGACCTCGTGCGGTGGCGATACACAGCTTGCGGCCGCTCACTAGTGGGCAGCCCTCACACCCACCACCCACCTCGCGCTGTACTGCCCGTCGTTGTTGCTGCCCCGCAGCACACCCCCTGGGCAAGCAGCCCAGCACCCCCATCTGGCGGCAGGCCGCCGCGGAGGGCCCCTGGAAGCCGCAGCGGGAGGAGTAGCTTCTCGGCAGCGTCCTGATCGTGGCCGGAGACGCCCGCAGCGCGCGCTTTGTTTTGCGTTGAAGGCGGTGCCGCTGCTTCCGCCGCAGCGAGTGCGATGGTGGAAGGGGGGATGCTCGAGTCGCGAGGCCGCCAGGCTTGTTAGGGCTTGACTAATGGACAACTGCCGGGTGTGGTCCAGCACAAACTACACCGCTACACACACACTGCAGCCAGGGCCTTGGGCACTGGGGTTTGTGTATTATATACAACGTCTCTCAACCAACAGCGTCCCGGTTAGTGCCTTGCGCTTGCATGCTTGCAGCTGGTGTTTTGGCTGCAATGGTTTAGCCCGGCGCGCGGCGCACACCTCAGTTGCAGTGCTTTTGACAGAGAGGAGGGTGTCGCCCAGCCAGGTGTCGGCTGCCCCGCTGCGGCCCGCTGTTGGCGGCTTGCGGCGTGGGAGCGTAGAAGTTGAGAGTGCCAAGGGCGCCTGCATGTGATGTTTTGTAACGGCACTCCTGATGTATACTGGTTGGGCTCGCCATGCGCATGGTGGTGCCTGGCGCTGGAGAAGCAGCCAGGTTTGGAACGTGTGAGTCATCATGACGTCAGCACCCGAGTGCCAGGTCCTGTTTTGTCTGCATAGGGACCCCCAAACCACTCTCGATGCAAGTCAATCGCATGATATTCGCGGCCTGCGTGCGGTAATCTCTGCGCAGAGTACAAAACAGAACCCTCGCAAAATGAGCCTGCTTGTGCGTGCCCTTGGTGCCGCGCGCTGCGAGGTGGCGCCGCTGCTGCGCCCCGCCTGCGTGGCCAGCAGCGGCCGGCTGCTCTCCACCTCATCCCCCGCTTCGAGCCAAAAGAAGGGATTCACAGAACGCGTCGAGGACATGGGTGCGTGATGGGCCGACGCATATCGGCATCACATGGCCGCTGCTGCGCCTTTTGTGCGGCGCCGCGCTCGCGCGCATGCTGCAGCGGCGACAGGCCGGGGCCGGGTCTTGTGTGTCACTGCAGCCGCCATCCCCCTTCCCTCGAGTGCTGTCCAAAATTTCACCCTTTCCTTTCGTCACGCACACAAAAGCAATTCTCTACAATCCGCAAAGCCCCGTATCCCATTACCGAATCGCGCAGGCGCACGCGTCGAGGACGCGACTGAGCACAGCAGCACCGCCGGCAAGGCCGACGCCGGCGCGCGCCGCGCCGGCTTCGCCGTCCCGCCCCCCGGCCCCGACTCGTCCGACGCGCCGTCCCCCGGCGCGGCCGCGGCGATGGGGCCGGGGGCGGGGATGATGGGGGGCGCGGACGACCTCGTTTCCGGGAGCGCGAGAGGGGACAAGGCGCGGGCGGCTGAGGGGATGGACGAAATGACGCATGGGGCGGCGCCCGGTGAGCTGCGGGCGGGGCCAGGCGGCGGCCCTGGCGGCTTGGGGCGCATGAATGACGCCGGCATCGGGCGGGCTTGCTACTAGCGGGCGTCGTGCGCCGCGGCGCAGCGCACACGCATGCAGCGCCGGAAGCTCCTTCGTGTGCCTGCTTACCCGCTGCCTGAGGTCCCAAACGGCCGGCACCATCCCCTTGCATGCCCTCTGCCTCGCCCCGCCCTGTTTGTCAATCACACTGTGCAGAGGCCCCCAAGCGAGACACGCACGACAAGGGCTCCTCCGCCCCTGGCTCGGGCGCCGCACAGCCCTGAGCCCTGAGGAGAGGCTCCTGGCAGCAGCAGGCGGCGGGCGGCGCTGCCCAGGAACAGAGCCCCGCGGGGCACAGATGTGACATGGCAGCGAGCGACAAATGGAGGGCGGCGGCGCAGGGGCAGCGGGCGTCTTGCGGAAAGCGGGGGCAGCCAGCGGCGGCGCTTGCGTGCGCTGCAAAGTGCAGGGTTGTTTGCCACCTCTGGACCAAGCGCCTGCTGCGTCCTTTGCACCCTCCAGCCACTTTCGTTTTGGCTGTTGCTCTGGCTCTTTTTTTCCAACTGATCTCTTGAGTAACAGCAAAAAAGGGTCATCTAAGCGGCTTGGGGCGCATGAACGACGCCGGCATCGGGCGGGCTTGCTACTACCGGGTGTCGTGCGCCGCGGCGCAGCGCACACGCATGCAGCGCCGGAAGCTCTCTCACCGGGGTAAGCGTGTGTTCACGGCATTTGAAGCATGACATATCAAATCAAAACAGATCAGGTGAAGTAAGAATAAGACATTACAGCGACTCCAGCCGCCCCTGCCGCTGGAAGTCGCGGTACACCGCCTCCAGCGCCGCCCCCGCCCCCGCGCTCGCCGGCACCCGCGCGACCGCCGCCTCGAAGTGCCGCGCCGCAACCTCGGACGCCTCAATGTCCTCGTCCAAGGCGGCCAGCGCGGCCTCCCTGCACACGGCCGCCACGTCGGCGCCGGTGTAGCCCTCCGTCCGCGCGGCGAGCGCCGCCGGATCGACGTCCCCCGCGAGCGGCGTTTTGCGGAGGTGCACCCGGAGAATCTCCGCCCGCGCGCCCGCGTCCGGCGGCGGCACGTGCAGCAGCCTGTCGAAGCGGCCCGGCCGCAGCAGCGCGCCGTCGATCCTGTCCGGCCGGTTGGTGGCCGCCAGCACGACCACGCCCAGCCGCGGCTGCAGGCCGTCCATTTCCATCAGCAGCTGGGCCAGCACCCTCTCCCCCGGCCCGCCGCCGCCGTCCCCCTCATCGCCGCCGCCCCCGCCGTCCATGGGGCGGCTGCCAGCGAGGCCGTCGAGTTCGTCGAAAAACACGATGGCCGGCGCGGCCGCGCGCGCGCGTGCGAACAGCGCGGCGACCGCGCGCTCGCCGCCGCCGACCCACTTGCTGAGGAGCTCGCCGCCCTTGACTGACAGGAAGTTGAGGCGAGCCTCGCTGGCGACGGCGCGCGCCAGGAGCGTCTTGCTGCAGCTGTGGGCGCGGGAGTGTGTGTGTGTGTGTGTGTGTGTGTGTGTGTGTGTGTGGTGGTAGGAGGTTGAGGGTTTCACGGTTGGCAGGGGTGACGAGGGAGTGCGGGATCGTGTGAGGGGGTGGGTGGGTTTTGTGGAGTGTGGGCGGGGCTGGCGGTGTCCAGGTTGGGAGCGCGTGGGTGTGTGTGCATGTGTGTGTGTATGTGTGTGCAA